TCTCTCGAACAAGCTTAAACGATGCCTATACAATTACTGTGATCATCGTCACTGTGTAGCTACTCGCCTATGATGCGTGCTGAACGACAGACAACATATACATATTATCTGTGTTACTGTGTAAATGAACACATTTAGTTAAATTATAACGAAGTCGGTGATTTAATCCATCCAACAAATTTATATTTGTTCTTTCAAAACCAGTGTCAGGTTAACGCCAAATCAAAGCAAGCCTTCAGACTGGTTTTGTTTAAACTGTCGTATATAAAGCCTGTTTCTACTTCGCAGTGTTCATCCCAGCTATAAAACTGCATGAAGGATAACAAGACTCCGTAGCGAATTAAGTTTCACAATGCCCTGTGCTTCAGGTTTCCAGAAGTCCCATGTAACACAATAATATCGAAGAGTATGGCCTGAGAGTAATACAAATATGAGGCCGTGTATGAAAGATTTTAAAAATTAGAAATTCAAGAATTTAAACATTTCACAAAAATCGCATCTAATTGTTTAGATTAACCTCTACTTTTATCGATCTCATCGCCTTGTCTCAACCACCTAAAAGAAATATAGTGCACATGAGGAAAAGTAACACGTTTACATGCAGGCGAAGGAGGTATACTTTAGTATTAATCGCGAACAATATCAACAGCGACTCAAGACCGTTGCCTGTCTTTCACACTTTTACACAAACACACGAAGGTTTAATAAAGGGAGTCGCAGCGCGATATCTATCTCTTTCTTTCGAACAAGCAAAAAGCTGACCCGAAGTAAGCTTTCTAAACTTGTTTCCTTTTTATTGTATATTGTGATTATTCCGCTTGCTCGCCTCCATTGTCTTGTAAAAGCGACAAAGAATGTGTTGTATTCACACACAAGTTGAAAGAACTTTGCATAACTCCTTTGCCTTGTTGCATAATGTCTTTCTCAAGGTTATAATCAGTGTGAAGAGGGTGTCTTGCCTCATTTAAAAAGGGAGTTGTTCTTCATATTAGTTGTTGCTTAACAAAACAGCCGAAAAAACAATGTAAAAATATATGGCATCCCGGAGTCTGAATCGGGCGATCAGACAACTTCTGCCCTAGTAATTAAAACATTAAAAGAGAAGATACAGGAAGAGGTGAAAGGCGATGATATTGTGGCAGTGCACAGGATTCCCGGCAAACCAGGGGAACCCAGGCCGATCATCTTAAAGTTAAAAAACACAGAGATAAAATCCCGTATCATGCGCAAAAGGGGTGTGCTAAAAAGGTCCGACAGAGCCCTGAGGCTAGCAGACGATGTTACAAAAGAAAACAAGGATCTACTTAAATTGCTGAATGACCATCCGGAATGTGAAAGTGCGTGGTATTTTAATGGCAGTATATATGCCAAGATTAACGGCAAGGAAGGTAAGAAAAAATTCGACATCGGGGACGACATTGGAACAAAAATTCGTCACTAAAACCTTAACACTATAATGTTGATGCAAGTAAAATTGATTGAAACGATACATCTCATGTCTTAATTTGTACAGAATAGTGCAAAAAAGTAATATATAATTAGGATCTCTGTAGATTTAATACATAGAAATCATACATGTAAAAAGTGGTAATTAGGCATATAGGATGTAAATAAGGAATTCTGTTTTATTTCCAATTATCTTTAGTATTATCCTTATTGCTATTATAATGTTTTCTACATCCACGACAAATACAGAGAAAAGGTGTGCTTCATGTCTAATCACATAGACTAAATGTTTGCCGAAGTGGTATTATTAGAGAGTAAATGCTGGGCACAAGAGCACACAATTATGAAATTCTATTCATGTATATTGCTCTCTGCGCATCAGTTGTTCTCAGCGCATCAGTGTGGAAATCTTTTGTCAGTGAATCCGTGGATGATGTGTGTGAATACCTGAGGAAAGACAAGCTACTTAAGACTATAGAAATAGGAAGTACTAGTGTGAATGAGATCGCGAGGATGGATGTTGTCTGTGTGGGAGGAGAACATGTGTATAACTTTTGGTGTGTGTGGCTCCTGCATCACACTTGCTGTTCTTTGTACAGACACAGATGTGTCTGCACATACTATAACTGTTATTTGTGTCTGCCGTCGTCATTGGTAACACCGTGACTTTCAAGGACAACATGATAAGTGGAAAGCCACAGGTTAGGTTAGAAAATCAGCTTCTTATATTTTTTCCTTCCACTCCAAATGATTAAAATCGCCACAGTAAATTGTCAAGGACTAGGTAACCCAGAGAAGAGAAAAGACGTTTTGAATTATTATAAAGGGAGAAAATATTCAGTGATATGTCTTCAGGATACGCACTTCACAACAAAGCTAGAGCCCTATATTGAAACACAATGGGGCTATACTTGTATCTTTAATTCATACCGCTCAAATTGTAGGGGAGTTGCAATTCTTTTTAACAACAATTTTGAGTTAGTTGTGCATAAAAAAACACAGNTAGGGATTTTTTTCAGGAAATATTGCAGCCTCAGATATTGTTCATATAAAGGTTCAAACACACCAAATATGATGTAAATCCGTTCACCCCCACCTTGCCGCATTTTCTACATTTGGTTTGGTTTTCTCGTGGACACACACTTAAAGCTACTTCTGTTAGAGTGCGTTCAGAACAATTTGATCCGCCGACTAACTTGTCCGCCAATCAAATATGGTGCAACCCACTTGAAAGCGTGCCGAGATTAAATTGCTCTGCCCCTGTTGGGACGGCGCGCGTGGGAGGCAGGGATGCACTTGTCCTAGCGTTACGCATACTGAATTAAAGAATATATATATATATATATATATATATATATATATATATATATATATATATATATATATATATATATGACTTCAGACTTTGTAAATAGGACCGAAACTTTTAATATATTTTTTCGACAAGTGTATCAATAAGCCTAAACTGATGCTAAAATTGATGAAAAGGTGATACAGCACGTTTCAAACTGTTTCGCCCTCTTGTCGTTTTCCAGTTTAAATAACATTGCGAAGAATTAATAGTGACCATTTTTCCTGAACTACTGCCACAATGAAATGTTTACTGCCTGTCGCAGAGATAATACCCTAACTACTTAAAAATCTCCTGGCTACATCCGTTTATCTTGATTTAACGCACAGTGGTAAATACTACCCGGAACTTTCTGACTAGCAGCCACACCTACACGTAGGCGATAAACAGGGTAATTTAACACTATACTGTCACAATTCTGGCGAATTTACACCGAATATAAATACAGGTGCCGGTGGCATCGAATCACTACTTACAGTATAGCGTCTGGCTTCAACCACGGATTCACGAAGTGCTCACATTCTTTAAAAAACCGTTGCTCTGCCTATATTCATTTACATTTTGAAAGGCCAAATTCGACGTTGCGAAAAATCCAGGTAAGATACAATGTCTATAGTTTTTCTTTTTTTTTTTTTAAGGTACTCGCTGAAAATAGACATTAGATAGTTACTGTTGGCTGAAAGCAGTCGGCGCAGTCAATTCTTGACCTGCTTCCCACCTGGTCTCCGACATGTACAGTGATTTTGTAGACCGGTGTAGAATGGAAGTCTGCTAGGAACCGTAGTCCATTCCCCAATGCTTTGTACAGGTGACATTCGTCCTATATACTAACTCCAATACTCCAACTAACCCTAACCTGTAGTAATCATATGGGAGCCCGGATTTTCATTCCTAAGGCTTTCATTCCCGTTACACCAGTCGTCCCGATCATAACGTCGGATAGTTTAACTTCGCAAGTCCAGTTTAGATTTTTTTTTACGTTTGTGATATCACTCTGCAGGACAAATCAGTACCGAAAGTAAATTTTGATAATATTTGTATAATGTAATTTACTACATCTGGAGCGATCAGCTGTATGCCTAATATGTTTTTATAATCCACCCATAGCTATTTCTAGTAGGCCTACATATACGAACATGTGTGTAGCTTCATGTTCTATTAAACACAGTGTGGCTCTGTCACTTAGATAAAAGACAATATAACATAAACTATAATTATTAAAAATATATTAATAATAGTAAACCGAAACATTGTGTCTAAATAATTTATTGAATGCAGTGTACACCCCGGGACGTTTTCATTGTCACATCTAGTTCACTTATATACTAGTGCATATATGTAGGCCTACATCCTGTTCGGTGACCCGCTTTAGGCTGCATGAAGCTGGACGCTTGTTTTTACGTAGAGCGATTTAAGGTTTTATCATGCCTTCTTTTGTTTATTTAATTCATATAATTTCAAAAAAAAAAAATAATAATAATAATAATAAATAAATAAAAATAAAAAAAAAATAAATAAATAAATAAAAAATAAATAAACAGCATGTCTATGGTGTTTTTTTTTTAATTGCTTGCCCACGTGTTTGCTGTCCCGTTTTTAGGCGCTCATACATATACTGTGTATATATGCTTAAATTTAAGCTTCTGTGAAACATTGGATTTAACACAACTGTTCCTTTCAGTTTCCATCGCGGTTGGAGTCCCCTATATAAGAGACCATTTCAAACATCCAAGATTCTCCGATCGAGATGGCAAAATTCGCTCGATTAGCAATATTCTGTGTCGCTTTTGTGGTGTCGTCGACCTCATGTGACGTCACGTCCGGTACTAGCACCTGCGACTGCAGTGAAGCCATAAAACGTCTCCAGAAGTCCCTGGACAATCTGAATGACATTTTAGCCCAGTCGACAGTAGTGATTACGAGGAACCAAGCTGCCACCAGCTGCCCGAATGAAATTAAGACTTACCATAGGGGTAAAAAACGCTTAATGTCAACGCTAAGTGTATGTACATGTAGAAGAATATCTGATGTGAATCTAATTTCAGTTTTATTGACTTTGGCTAAGTTTGGTCACGCACAAATACATGCACGTGTTCAGGTATTCCAGCCACACTACACCTTATACTACTGTAGTGGATGTGGGTCCAACAATGTACTGAGTTATATTCTTATATCAAAGACAGGCGATATTAGAAACCAGTTTATAAAATTCTTATAAATGATCTCACTTTCAGCGCACTACAAAGTAATTGAAGAAGATGGCGCTAGATGGCGCTTGTTTTGGTGGTACAAAGCCAATACCACGTGGCCAGCACTGGTGTCTGACGTCCTTCAAGGTCGGTGCTTAAATTTTATACTCATACAATCGGTATAGGGTCTTCACAGTGTGTTCACTAATTAATGAAATTAAATTTTGATAGCCTGTTGTTCGCACGTACCTCCTTTGAGCATTTATCAATTAAAGATATTTCGTAAATAAAGGCCAAATCTGTTAATCAAAATAGGCAAACAAAAGCATGTTTCTGTTTACGTCCTAACAGACTCTTAAATGCAGACCTTTTTCACTTTTGTCTTAATTAAAACATGCAATAGAGAATCCTGATAGCTCATTAAATGTACGTAAAAATTCTAATCTGAAACAACAGCAAGCTATAATAGACAGTAGTAGGCCCCTTAAAATAAAACCGGATAGAACTGAATGAATAGGAAATTAATACATTGCAATTACAGAGGCATTAATAACCTTCAGTTAACCGACAGTTAGGGAGCATTCAGATAAACCCATCGTATTAGCTGGATCGATCCAAATCTGCGGGAGACTCTCTCTAAATTCAGTCTCTGATATCGGCTATGATGCTTGACATGCCTCCTCGAGTTGCTAGGGGTTAATAAGCTAACTAACCAGCTTCTCTGGGAGGCGTGTCAGACAATTAAGCTGATTAAACTGAATGCACTTTAGCGAGAATCCCCTGCAGAGTTGGACCGATCCAGCTGGTACGGTGTTTGAATCTGAACGCGGTCTTACTTTGGCTTCTGCTATCGAATTATAGCACGTGTCGTATTTCATTTCTAATAACTAACAACGGGTTTCCTAGTACAGTACCTCATTTTACACGGAAATCGAGAACAAGTCGTTATAATAGTTTAGATGATTACGCAGTACCTACTATCACACACTGAGATTCGAATAGTTTATGGTTATTTTCTGCTTCCTACTCTCAAAACACTACAATGGGGATGGTAATACTTTCAAATAAACTGTAAAATTCAAGGTTTGGGATCTCCAATAAAAAAGAAAATATGTGACCAGATTCTTGTGAGCCATGTGCTGTATTTTAAGTGACGAGACCCATTATTTTTCATAGCCCAGAAACAGGAGATATTTCCTGAGTGTTGAAATCTGTTTATTTTAGACAAGTATGGAGACTGCGATGCTAGTGCCCCATACTGTTTTGGTCGCCTCCCAGAAGCTCTAATGGAGAATCAAGCCGAGATGTTGGGCATCGACTCAGCAGACAATGCTTATAGGTAACAAACGCGCTGAAAACAGTTTGTGCACAGAAAAGACGGGCTGTGGTGGACAATTACCTGATTTGTATTGTCAGAAAAATAAAATATTCAAACGTTTTAGCCGTCTGCATGACTATTTTTAATATTAAATAGTAAAATGAAGCTGATAGTTAAAACGATTGAAGTTAATTTCAGTGGGAATATCGTTTGTTGATTTGACGCTGAGAAAGTTAAAACTGAGTTGAATTTTAATCCTAGGTGGAAGTTCAATTCAAATAACCGAGTGTCCCATGCAGTATGGGAGGCATTCCACGATCATAAAGATGCGCAAGTCAAGAACGTCGATGTGTGGAACCCGAAGGTGATAAGAGGTGAGAACTCCTAAAAGAGGCTGACCAGCCGAGAAGACAAATTTTAAATTTTAATTTACAACAATAGTTAGTTCCTTCAAATAATAGACTCTCCTGACAGTGTATCATTCGTTACATTTCTCGTCAAACGCAAAGGGGCACGCCTCAAAATCTACCTCTGTTTTTCTTATGTTTTAATTTGGGTCTTGTTAAAGCCAGTTGAGAAAAAAAAAAAAAAAAAAAAAAAAACTCGTAGCATTCTTTAATCTCAGAAGCTCTTCTTTGAACAAATAAAGGAACTGCACCCAAAGCTGCCCAAGACAGCTTCCATTATCGTATGGAGCACGGCGTGAGGTCACTTCAAATTGATGACGACAACTGCGATTGCCTGACGTCACTAAGCATGGGCCATGGAATGTGTTTGGAAGGATTCAGTACTCAGTATGGCCCGGAAAACGTGTACGGGGTTGATCTACTGTATGACACTTATTGTAACACACCAAAGCCAAGCAATGGGTTGTTTCTGTATTTCAGAGGTAAGAAGTGGTGAATACAAAGTTATGCTACATGTAGTTGTTTTACTTGGAGAGTTCTTTACTGAAAAATAACCCAAGCCCATTTTTATTACACCAGTCAGTTGAAAATTGAAATTTCACACTAAACAATGTCAAGCGATATAAACTTTATATCTGATACATTGGTATTTCATCTGTGATATTTCATTAGGGTCAGTTATTGTTGGTTTCTTAATTTCAGATGATGACGACTGCATGAACGTAACCTGCCCGGCTAACAAAGTTTGCGTGGACGGCATCTACTCCTACGTTTGTGTCGACGCCTAGACATGCATTATTAGATCAAATACCTTCATATACCCTTTGTGCTATTTGCAACAACCTACAAATGACAGTAATTAAAAAAAGATAATAAAAAAAAATAAAAAACGGAGGTTCCTCAAGAGGTTCCACTTTAAACTGTATGGCTCAATTTTCACAAATCAGTCTTGATTCCACGAATATTCAGATAATTTTTTTCTATTTCATTATAATTACTTATGTAACCTGATCTTTATAAACATCAAATGAAATGCAGATAAAGTGACATTTGTTTACTTTTAAAAATAGTGAAAATATTTTTGATTAAATTGATTAAAATGATATGTAATGGCTGCAAAATTTTCATCTATAGTATCTAATAATTTAAGATACCCTCTTACTCCTGTTTAGCGCATAAGTGGGCTACCCGATTCTTATAATTGATAGCCAATACTTGTTTTTTACTTTGTCTTCTTTCTTATATTCAGTAACTTTTTCAATAAGTATTTAAATGTCTCAAATAGATCATTTAAAAGCAGTGTATTTTCTTTCCTGGAAAGAGGGATGTTGTGTTGGGGGTTGGTGGGTGGGGTTGTCTGTCTGTGTGTGTGGTGGGGGGATGGGGGGG